CCCACTCGTGCCCAACCCTGGGCAGGCCCACGAGGACCCCCGAGGCTGCCAGCCTGGTTCATAAGAGAATTCCTGTGTGACTGAGGGACGTTGCCAGGGAACTGAGACAAAGACCCTAATGCCCACCCCCATGCCCAGGCCTGGCACGCCCAGAACCGTGTGCCCGTGGATTTAGGGACCTTACGGAGAAGGCCCACGTGGATCTGGGCAACACCAGGAGGCTCGCCGGCGGGCACAAACAGGCCTGTGCTGCGCCAGAGGAAGCCTGACAGTTCCTCACCCTTTGACGCACTTGTGACACCGTGACTCTCTGGGCTGCAGTCAAGGCAACACAATCCTAACTGGCTACATAAACACAGGACGATAATTAATTGGCTCTAGTATCTGGAAGGTTTCTGGTAAACCAGTCTTGGGTTTGATTGGCTCCAGGGCCTCAACAGATGAGACACCTGCCTCCATCCCCTCTGGCTCTGCTCCCCAGGAAGGACTTCCCTCCCAAGGTCAACAACTTGTGTGGCACCATGGCCTTGGCTCCAGGCCCACTTCCAGGCAGCTTAGCAACTCCTGAGGATGGTCATTGGCCCAGCTTGGGCCACATGCCTGTGCCTGAACCAATCACACGGCCAGGAACGTGGCGCTCTGATTGGCCAAGCCTCCTCCCCACTACAGGGCAGAGAGAGGAGCTTGGAGAACTTTGGTCCCCGACCAGAAGGGAGAGGCTGGGGCCTTCTCGGGCCAAGCCCTGCTCTGTCTCGCAGCTGTGCCTGTCTTCAGAAAACCCAAAACGAGGAGATTTAGAGTAAAGCTGGGGCTGTGGTGGTCAGACCCCGAACAAAGCGCTCTGTGTCTCAGCCCACGCTGGGGGTTGCCTGTTGCTGCATTTCTGCCCGCTCACCCCCCACTTCCCTCCGACCTCATCACACACTCCCGCTCCTGGAAGGGCCTTCACGTTGGTCTCCGCTCCTTGCAAGCCCGAGCTGAGCACGGGAGCCGTGAATGACAGCTGCCATCATTGCTGTAGCACATGCTAAGTTGAAAGGCCAGTTTAATTTCCCCTGGAACTTTCAACTGATCACAGCCTTCTGTCTACAGAGGTGCGGACGGAACGTGCTCCCCAGTGCACGAGGGGTTAGGCTAGGGCTAGGACTGCCTGTTGGTTTGCTGGCCTCCCACCTCGGGGTGGGGACGCAGCAGCGTGAGCTCAGTCTGAGCAGTGACCGAGCCGTGGGGAGCACGGATCGGGCCGTGACTCTGGCTGGCCTGGCGGGCCTGTGCGGATTTCCCGGCTGCGGGAAGACAGGAGCCGAGCCTCGGGGGCTTCCCCTCACCTGGACTCCCTGGTGCTGGGCTGCAGTCGCTCAATGTGGCAGCCCGGTCCCGCTCATCCTGCCTGTCCCCCAGCTCAAAGCTCACCCTGGCACGGCCCGCTTGGCCCCCGCTCTTGTATTCCCATGTGGCTCCCCCACTCGCTCCTCTGGGCAGCCACGGTTGTCCAGGTGGGCCCGACAGCAAAGCCTCAGCCAGCTCCGCTCTCAGCCACTGCCCACACCTTCCCTGATCAACCTCCTCCGGCAGCAGGGAGCCGGTAAAAGTTATGCACCAGTTGCCCAGGAAGCACACACAGGCCCGCTGGTGAGCCTGCACCATCAGCAGGCAGCTTCCCTGGCCCTGAGGCTGTCCAGGATCCCATGTGAAGGAATCCATTCTGGGAAAGGCTTCCCCGCTGCAATGCTCTTGCTCTCACTGTTCCTTAACCTTTATATCCTGGCCCCTGTCCTTGCACTCCACCATCAGGGCCTGGACCTTGTATGAAGCTAAGCAAACACCCCGCAAACTTCTTTATGAATAATAATAATTAACACACATTGAGCACTTACTCTAGGCCAGATACTCCTGTAAATGCATTAAGGGTATCAATACATCACAGCAACGTTCTGGGGTGTCGACAGTTAGTATCACGCCCACTTTACAGATGAGGAAACTGAGGCACGGAGAGGTTGGGGACATTCCCAAAGTCTCAAGGCAGAAGGAAGGTGCTACCCTCCTCCCACAGCAGCTGGTCCGCCACCTCTGATGGGATCCCGTCTTCCCCAAGGCTGAGCCAATGCTCGGCGACTCTGGACCCGAGGCAGGCACGGAAGGAAAGGAACCCAGACGCCCAAAGGCGAGCCGCCCCAGACAAGAGGACATCAGTAATTTCTGAAGACTCCAAGGATTGGGCAGGCTGTTTCCACTGTCTCAGACACAGCTTTTCTGCTGCCTCTGCCTGACTTATTCATCCACCTGGCTTAGATGCTGCTTCCTCCATGCAGCCTTCCTGTCACCCAAGGCTAGGCTGGATACACCCCTCCACACATGAATTCACAGCCCATCCCAGCCATTATCACGCTACACTGCAACTGCCAGTCTCTACGACTGCCTCCCTTCCACACCGGAAGCTTCCAAGTAGGCAGGGATTGTGTCTTGCTTTGCTTTCTTTTGCATGTTTTTTTGAGAAAATAATTCTTTTACTTTTTATTGAAGTAAAAGATACTTTCAGTAAAGTACACAAATCGTTAAGTGCATAGCTCAATGAATTTTTACGTGCATACACAGCTACATAACCACCACTCAGATCAAGACATAAAACATGTCTAGTACCCAGGTTCTCTGGGTACCCTCCCGGTCATGACCCCTCACCCCAAAAATAACTATTATTTTCTAATTGCTGACACTATAACTTTGCTTTTTCTTAACCTTCGAATACATGGAAACTTTAAATAAGTGTGTCTGGCTTCTTGTGCTCAACAACATGTGTGAGATTTATTCATGTTGCTGTATATTTCACTACTTCATCTTTTTACTGTAGTACACTATTCAAGAAATATAACAGAATTTATTTATCCTATTGTTGATGAAAATTTATTTATCCTCTTGTTGATGAACATGTCCGCTAGGATATGGGGCACCTGGAACCCTCTTTTTTTGCTGGTGGGAGTATACATGGCTGTAACTGCGAAGGAAAATTCTGTCTTGTCTATCATTGTTGTAATAATTCATTTATTGAGCATTTACTATGTGCCAGGCACTACACCGATGCCTCTGCATTATCTCACTTAATCCTAACAATGGCCCTAGGAAGCAGACAGCTGCCATTTATGAACAGGATAATCGTGGCCAGAATACGATCACTGTGAAGTTTAAGTGAGACGACCCTGTGAAAGACTGAGCCCAAAGCTGCCATTGTGGAAACACTCTTCCAGCTGTCACTGTTATTACTAACGGGTGCAGGATTGGGAGTTCAGGAGCCCCGCTCCATGCCCACGTAAGACATCCTTGCAGCTCAGCACCCTTGGCCTCGGCGTGCCTGGGAGGTCATGCACTGGCCAGCCGGGACCTCTGGGGGTGACTCGTGGCACACTCTTCGAGAAGACGCACGCTCTAACCTCAAGAAGGCGGTCCCTGGTGGGGACAAGACTGAGGCTGTCAAGCACGAAGGGCCTCGCGGTGCTCAGGAGTTGAGCCCAGCAGGTAATCTCAAGCGAGATGTTTCAATACCTGCCTCTTTCACTAGCCTGCAAGCTCCGCAAGGGCCTGGCCCGTGCATGTTTCCAATCATTCGTTCATAAACACAATCTCAGGGTCCTCGTCCTCCAGACACCGTGCCAGGCGCTGAGGGACACAGCAGGGGACACGACGGACGGGGCGGGCTGAGAAGCAGGGAACAAAGTGACGTTAAGGAACCGCAACGGGGACAGGGACTCCCAGGACAGGTGTGCGTTGGGCAAGTGGCCACTGAGACTCAGTGCTCAGGAGGGACGAGCAGCTCCAGCGGGCCCGAGGTGGGAAGGACAGAAGCTGCTGCGAGGGGAGGTCCTGGGGGGTGGGGGCGTGCACGGAAGCCTTGAAGGCCAAGGCCAGGAGGGGGAGCGCGGACCTGCCCCCCCGAGGCTGGCAACCGGCAGGCTGAAGCTGGAGACGGCCGCGCGGGAACCCGGGGTCACGACGGGGCTGCAGGTGAGGGGCCGTGCGCAGAGGGCGCGGAAGGTGCTCAGGGATCAGCCCGGCGACCCGACGCACCGACCACGCACGCGCAGCAGGAGCCGCGCCGGCCACAGGCCTCACCCGCGGCCTAAGCCCCGGCTCCAGGCCACGCACCGGGCGCCGTGACCTTGGGGACAGCCCGCCCGGGCTCGGGCCGGACGCCGTCCCGGGGCGGGGGCCGCGCCGAGAGACGCACGCACCGCAGCTCCTCACGCGTCCGCCCGCCAGGCCCCGCCGGGCCCGCACCCTCGCCGCCCGCCGTGTTTACATGCGGCCCAGGCCGGCCACGCGGCTTCTGCCTCTCCCGCGCCGCCCGGCTCCGCCCCCGACGCCCCGACCGGCCGGCTCCCCCGCGTCCCGCCCCGCGCAGGCCCCGCCACGGCCGCGTGGTCCCGCCTACCACGTCCCGCGTCCCGTCCGCCGTCCGCCGTCGCGCAGGCCCTGTCAGCGAGCCCCGCCCCGCGGCCCCGCGCGCTCCGCAGCTCGGCCCCGCCCCCTGGAGGCCCCGCCCCGGGGCTGGCCTCGTCCCCAGCCGCCCGGCGCGCTCCGCAGCCAGGCCCCGCCCCCCGGAGGCCCCGCCCCGGGGCTGGCCTCGTCCCCAGCCGCCCGGCGCGCTCCGCAGCCAGGCCCCGCCCCCCGGAGGCCCCGCCCCGAACCGGCCCCGCCCCCAGCAGCCCGAGCGCCGGGCCGGCGCGCGCTGAGGCGGGCGGTCCTGAGGCGGAGGCGGGCGGTCCCGGCCCGGGGCGACCGCTGAGGGGCTCGGCACCCGGCGGGGCGGGGCGGCGGAGGCGCGAGGGCGGGCCGGGGCCGGTTCCGCGCGCAGGGATTTTAAATGTCCCGCTCTCAGCCGGGCGCAGGAGCAGCCGGCTCGGCCGCCAGCGCGGTGTAGGGGGCAGGCGCGGATCCCGCCACCGCGCGCTCGGCCTGCCGCCGCCTCAGCGTCTCGCCGCCGCCCGCCCGCCCGCCCGCCCCGGCCGCCTGCTTGCCGCGGAGACGGCCTCGGGTAGGGCCCTGCCGCGGGCCGCGGGCCAGGACTCGGCGCTCCCGGGCCGGGCCGGGCCGGGGTGGGGGTGGGGTGAGGCCGGGTCGCCGGGTCGCGGGTCCCGAGGCGTCAGTGCGGGTGCCCCGGGCAGGGCGGCTCGCGGACGGCCCGGGGGAGGTGCTGACGGGGAGACTGAGGCAGCCCCGGCCCCGAGGGAGCCGATGGGCCCACGCGAGTTTCGGGGGGCTTCTGGCCCCCCACCCCGGGTTCGGACCGGGTCGCTGGCCGCAGGCGGCGCCGCGGGTGACAGGCCACCCGGGCCCATCGGCCATTTTCCCGGCCGGCCCGAGAGGCTCCCGCGGCCGCCGCCGCCGCCGCCGCCGCCGCCGCCCGCGCGGGCTGGGGGGAGGGGAGGGGTGCGGTGGGCCGGCGGTCCCCGTCCCCGCGGCGGCCTCGCCACGCTGCCCGCTTCGTGCCCGCAGGCCCGAGCGAGGAGCCGGAGCCCTGCGCCATGCCGCGGGAGAGGAGGGAGAGGTGAGCGGCCCGCGGGGACGGGGGAGCGCGGCGGTGGGGGAGGGGCGGGCCGAGATCGGGGTGAACGCCCCGCGCCTCTGTGCCCCCCGGGCTTGCAGGGATGCGAAGGAGCGGGGCAGCATGAAGGAGGAAGGCGGCACGGATTTCTCCGTTCGCTCCAGGAAGAGGAAGGCAAATGTGGCCGTTGTGAGTACAAAGGGGGCAGGTCGGGAGGACCCCGCACCCCATCTTACCTGGGTGCCGGACCGGCCCTGCCCGCCCATTTGTCGCCAGGGGGTCGGTGCCCGGGTCCCCTGGGCAGTCGCGGCGCTCATGATCTGATCGACTAACTTTCTTTTTCTTCTCTCTGTTGTTGTCTTGGGGCTGTTCGGTGTGTTCGGGGGTCGTCTGGGGTTAGTTTTTGCAGGATCCAGATGAGGAAATTGCCAAAATTGACAGGACTGCGCGAGGCCAGTGCGGCGGTCAGGTGGGTGCATTGGGCCTGGTGGAGGGTGGCCCGTCCCCGCGGGTCGCACTGGGGCTCTGCTCTCTCGTCCCCTGCTCAGGACACTGGTGGGTCCGTCCGTCCGTCTGCAGCCGCGGTCCATGTGGCCGAGCGCGCTTTCAGAGGGCGCTGGCCTCCGGCCACCCTGGGACTCCAGGAAGGACTCGTTCCTGGCTGGCACCGTCTGAGGTTACAGATAGGTGCAGATGCCACCCGGAAGGACCAGCGTGGACATCAGATGACTCGGTCCTGTCCTTGTGCCCACGAGGAAACTGGGAGAAGAAGAACGTTAACCCGGAGTTAACCCAGAGTCCTTGCAAACCGGGGACAGTCGGGCCCACAACCTCCTCTCTGAGGCCGGAGAACTGGGGAGGTTGCTGTGTGTTTACGAGCAACAGCTTCTCCCCCATCTACATTGATTTTTTTTTTTTTTTTTGTCATGGTGTTTTAAGGACTTTCTCCCATCCTCTTTAGGTCGGGGTTCAAACTTTTCCCCCTGTCTGGCCTTGGAAGTTCTTCCAGCCCATCCAGCAATTACCCACATTGAACACCGCCGTCCGGGGCTAGACCTGGCCTCGGTACGGGTATCAGTGGAACATTCTGTTTACTGGTTTGTGTGTCTCAACACTTTTTTATTGGCTGCTCCATTTCTCTTGCCCATCTTTATGGAGTTCCTGCCAAATTTCCTGCGTGCAGTGTGATAATCATTATGATATCAGAAGTTCCTTGCAGAAAAAGCTCGTATTATCTCTTTACCTCCAGAAATAGCTAGAGACTGCAGCTTTGGCTCTAGCAGGGGAAGCAGCCTATCTGCACACGGGCTGGCCAGGCCTTCTGAGTCTGTCGCAGATAAAGCTGAGCAGTAATAGTGATCAGCCAGCGTGCAGTGGGCGCAGCTAGATTAGCGGCAGATGGCACATCACTCAGCAGAGCAGTGAGCACCAGCCGGGGAGCTGGTCTGGGAGAGGGAAGGGCTTCAGAGTGTTCAAAATAATGGCCTGGTTGCTTGCAGTAGCGTTTCACTGCACGTAGAACCCTAGTAATAAGCACTTTGGGGGAGGATTCCCTGAATATTGAACAAGGAATCGATGGTTTCCTTCTCCGTTAGAAGAAATATTTCACTTTAGGAAAGGAAGTGAGATGGCACACCCCAAGCTCGCTCTTCTCCTTTTTCTCCCCTTAGAACCTGTAAATCAAGTAAGTTGATTTTGTGGGCATTATCAAATGAGTCCCTACTTTGTGAAATTCACGATTATTTTCCCAGCTGTGTTTTGAATAGAAATGAAATTTCCAGCTGAAGACAGAGCAGAGCCATCCACACTGACTTCTTCAGAGCTTCAGAGTAGTCCTGTTCTCCGGGACAACCCGAGCAGAGCCGCATGCCTGCGGCTGGACCGTGGAGAGTCGACGGCTGTGATACGTGAACAGCCATCGCATTTCCCGCTGGGAGGCATTTTCATGGTTGTCCGGAGATTAACAGCAATGGGTTTTTGTACATTTTGTAGAGTAGATAGCTTAAAAAAATTGTCCATTTATTTATGAAGCAGTGTCTATTATTTCTCCATGAAGATTCACGAAGCTAGAACTTGCGGTTACAACAGAACCTTTTTGCCTATTAACACGTAGAATTTTTCTCTGGAGCTGTCATGGTTCAGCCCAGTACAGCACCTGAGCTTGCTCCGTGGAGCCATCACGCCAACACTCCACGTAACTGCTTCATTAAGACCACATGGAACCTTTGATGGTTCTTATCTTGGGCCGTTCTTAATGAAAAGAATACCGTTCTATCCAAAATCTATTAAACATTTCCATTTTTTTGTTTAGTTTATTTTGCATGAAACCCGACCTTTCTGTGGAAGCAGAATCCTAGACTATTATTAGTTACTTCTCAGAAAAGTCAGACTGACCGTGATTCCTCTGAAGCTTGGTATACACTCAAGTTAAGGAACATAGACCTAATTATCTGCCTCATCCACTGGTTCCTAAAAAGACCAACTTTGGAAACCATTAGTCTACTTGTGGTTCAACCTACTTTGTCTATGCAATGCTGACTTGGAACTGCCGCCAAGCAGTGTATCTCCAAAGGCCTGCTCTCACAGGTGCCAGCCACCTGGCCGTACAGGGTAGCTCCCGCTTTGTGCCTTCAAAACCAGAATTCATTCTTCCTGAATGAAGAGCAACTCAGAGCAGTTGTAATATGACCCTTTTTGAGTCAAGAAAATGCTACCAGCTCATGATACTAGAACCGAAAGGAAGTTGCCTTCCTCGCACAGCTGTTGACAGAAGTGTCATGGATAATTTGCATGCCCGATTCTTTGTACATCTGGTAGAGAAGAGCTTTGTCTGGCTTTGCTCTTCTTGCTCACTGGAAGGGCTTGGGCTTCCTCCAAAGGTGGCCAGTGCTCTGCGGTAGCCACCACGTGCCACGTCTTCCAGGCAGCACTCAGAGCCCGCGTTTCCGTGTTCTTCTGTAGTCATCCCGGTTGTCTGTTGTTCTCTGGTCAACGTGAGTGGTCTCCCTGCTTTAAAGAAACAACATGCCAGGGATCTCAGGCTTTCACAGGGCTTCCATGCTAGCAGGACTGTTGCCTGCCTGATATCTTCAACAAGTCACTATTTTATAACTTTAAAAATCAAAAATAGTTTTCTTTTTAGAGTCGGACGATGAACAGAATAGTTTTTAAAAAGAGGATTTTCCAAATGGCACAATGACCTTAGTCTTTTCCAAATAATTGAAAATTGAGTAAGTATCTGAAATCTCGAAAGAAAAGCATATTTTTTGGTTTTTAATGATAGTTCATGCTTTTACCAGATAGTCGAGTGTTACTCTGTGCAAGGCTCTGAGGATTTGAAGGTCTTTGGGAGTATCTAGGCCCTTTTTCCACGGACTTCTTAGTGTGACCTGTGACGGCTTGATTTGGTTTTACCTCGGCAGAAGTTCTTTTTGTTTTGTTTTGAGTAAAGGAAAACAAAAGTTCTCTACTGTTTAATGTATTTGGCTGGTCCTACAACCAAAAGAAGATGTCACATTTGATGAGTTTTTGTTTTAAACTGAGGGGACTTTAATAAAGATGGCAGCTAGTTTACATCTTTGCTCCTTTAGACTTGTGAACGTGTAGCGCTGTGTAAATGTTTTTATTAGAAATTCTATGTTTTATTTTTAAGAAATTTTAGTAGATTAGTTGTTAAAAAACAAATCTTTGGTTTGTGACTAAATAATCCCACAGTGTATCTTTTTTTAAGCACTTGCAGATGTCAACCATGCTGCAAGTGGATTTGTACTTTCTTTCGAAATGCAAAAGCTGTTTGCATTTTATCTTTCTTCTCTTGTGTCCATTTTGCCACTAAAGCACCTCATGTGAGGATGAGGATGTGGAAGATAAAATGCTACTGATTTCCTAGTTTTCTTGCATATTTCCTACATGGACTCCTTGGCTAGTGACAGAAGTAACATGGAAGCTTGGAGTCATTGCTGCAGCTTTCCCTTGTCCGTGCCGTCTTCGTCTTAACTGAGGCCGGAATATGTAGGCCTGGAGGTTACTCTCCGGTGTGAATGTATTTTTGTGAAGTTCTGGCTAATCTACAGATCAGTGAATGTAAAGATAGCTGGTTCACATCAAGCATTTTTAAATGTGCTTTTCATTTACAGCCTTGGGACAGCAACACAGTCTGTGCAAACCCCTGCTCCTTGATCCCCACACCTGACAAAGAGGAGGATGAGCCAGTGTACCCGAATTCTGCATGCAAGCCTCAGAGTTTCACACCGTCCAGAGCTTCACCGCTGCCTATACTGAAGTAAGCGTTGGCCCTGCCTCGCGGCTTCCAGCTCTCTTACCCAACGTTCCCCCTTAGCCCTCCTTAGTAGGGACTCATATCAACCTGAGGGGGGGTTGGGTTTTTTGTTTTTGTTTTTCTAGCTGGGCAAATAGAGAGGAAGTTTGGAGAATCATGTTAAACAAGGAAAAGACGTACTTAAGAGATCAGCACTTTATGCAGCGACACCCTCTTCTGCAGCCTAGAATGCGCGCAATTCTTCTGGATTGGTTGATGGAGGTGAGCTTGTTTTCCCCATCACTGGGAGCGTTGACCATTTCTAGATTTTCCTGTGCATTATGAACTCTCTGCGTGTTTTGTTCTATTGATACAGTCTGTATCTCTGAAGCTCTATGGTATATTTACTGCCGTGATTTTTTTTTTTTTTTTTTTTTGAGACAGAGTCTCACTCTGTTGCCCAGGCTAGAGTGCCGTGGCGTCGGCCTAGCTCACGGCAACCTCAAACTCCTGGGCTCAAGCGATCCTCCGGCCCCAGCCTCCTGAGTAGCTGGGACTACAGGCATGCGCCACCATGCCTGGCTTTTTCTATATATATATATTTTTAGTTGTCCAGATCATTTTTTCTTATTTTTTAGTAGACATGGGGTCTCGCTCTTCCTGAGGCTGGTCTCGAACTCCTGAGCTCAAGCAATCCTCCCGCCTCGGCCTCCCAGAGTGCTAGGATTACAGGCGTGAGCCACCACACCCGGCCTGCCGTGATCTTTTGACTTTTTTGCTTGCATTCTTAAAGGAGTTTTTTTCCCCACAAATTTACTTTCATTTGTTTACTTTTCATTAGTTTAAATCCTTGGGAGAGTACACCATCACACAGATTCTGTCTCCAGTGGCCTCAGCAGGAAGGTTGCCCTGGAAGTTGGCACGAACTGTGCCACTGTTTCTGTGGGCCCTGGTCACCTTTCCCCACATCACGCTGGTTTTACCGCCAGGAGTCACAGTGCTGTTCTTTGCTTTGTATATATAAGCACATTTCTTGCCCAAATAGAATTCAGTTTCGTCTCAGGCATAAACACCTTCGACTTTAAGAGAAGCTGCGTGGTTCTGGAGACCCAGCGTATACCGGCAAAAATGGACCTTGGACCACAACCTTCCAGGCATATTTGCCTTTTAGAAGTCCTATTCCCTGCAGGCCTCACAGGCTCCAAGGTGGCAGAAAGAGAAAAGCAAACTTAAAAGGACTTCTAAAATCTCTATTCCCCTTAGGGGTTTTAAAATTGGCATCTAATTTTTCCATCAAAGTTTAAATAGTCGCAAAGGTTGTATTTTCTAGTGAATTGTAACTTTGAGCTTTGTTCATTGAATTGCTTTTATATGTATCCACTGGGATGCAAATATCAGCTATTTGATAGCCACTATCATAAATTATAAAAATATATGAAGAAGCTTACTTTTAACAGTCAGATCTTACATTGTTCCTTTTTAACTCTTGGAATCCATTTTCCTTTTCTCACAGAATGTTATCCTAACAAAATATATTGATCCACACTGTCATACTTTTCTGTAGCAATTGATCGAAAGAGCACGTGTTAAAGGTTTTGATAGATGATTGTTAAACTTAAAAAGTGAAATTGTATCAGCATATCTCTGACTGGGAGGTACTGCAGGTGACCTACAGTTCCTCTATTGAGGGACTGGCTTCCTAGACAACCTCGTAAGACTTGGGTTGGTGAGAAGTGGTCTTTTTTTCAGTGAAGTGGAAGAACTTTTCACGCAGATCCATTTTATAAAAAACCACATGTAGAAGCTGAGTGTCCAACTATGGCGGGTCCCCCTTATTCTCGGGGGATACATCCAAGATCCCAGTGGATGTCCGAAGCCACAGATAGTACCAAACCCTGTACATACTGTGTTTTTTCCTATACTTTGACGGTTTTACTTACAGAAAGCACTTTATGGCTTCTCTTTGGTGTGTCAGAATTGCCGGAGTCACAACTCTTGTGCTTTGGGGCCATTACTCAGTAAAATAAGTGTCATTCAAACACAAATCCTGCAATACCGCAACAATCCATCTGATGACCAAGATAGCTGCTAAATGACGAAGGGTCAGATAGCTTATACCAGCAGTCGCCGACCTTTTTGGCACGGGGATCGGTTTCGTGGAAGACAATTTTTCCTCAGAGATGGGGTGGGGGTGGATGGTTTCGGAATGATTCAAGGGCATTGCATTTATTGTGCAGTCAGACCTCTCTGCTAGCGATAATCTGTATTTGCAGCCGCTCCCCAGTGCTGGCATCACCGCCTCAGCTCCACCCTCGGATCACCAGGCATCAGACTCTCAGAAGGAGGCAGCCGGATCCCTAGAACGTGCGGTTTACAGCAGGGTTCGTGCTCCTGTGAGATCCGATGCCGCGGCTGATCTGGCGGGAGGTGGAGCTTCTGCGGTGACGTGAGCCATGGGCTGTAAATACAGAGGGAGCTTCTCTTGCCCGCCGTCCACCTCCTGCTGTGTGGCCTAGTTCCTAACAGGCCACTGACCGGTACTGGTCCAAGGCCCAGGTACCCCAGGCTCATACGCTGGACAAAGGGAGGATTCAGGTTCCAGGCAGGTGGGAGCAGGACGGGCCAGAATGCCACACGATTTAAAACTTTTCCATTTTTTGTTTCTGCAGTTTGCGTTTAATACGTTGAGACTGCAGGTGACTGAAACCTCGGAAACTAAACGGCAGGTGGGGGGTGCTGTGTTTGCTAGAAACGAACACGCCCCTGGCGAAAGCCAGCACTCCCGGGGTCACGCGTGCCTCAGTTGTGCTAGTCCTAGAGTCAGATTCCCTGTTGCCACCTACTCCAGCGTGCCCTCGTCAGACAGGTCACCCTGCCTCTGCGTCTTGGTGTCCTCATCTGTGACATTTTCTAGCGATACTTTCCTTGAAGAGTTTATGCAGATTAGAAATGGTGTGCACGAAATTTTTATCATTCTTAATTTGTGTTTCTTCATTGGTCCCTGAAGATGGCAACATTTTCCGGACTGAATTCTTTGGCAGGCCTGCTTTTAAAGTGTAGGCCTTGCAGTTGCCCCCCACCCGCGGTAGTTTCTTGAAGTGTTAGGCGTAAAACGTTTTAATCTCTTAGGCTTCAGCTCATTCTTATAAAAAATGTTACGGCTGAGAAGTTCTAATGTAATTGATACCATTATACTTCGAAGGTCTGTTTTGAAAAATAGCTATATCTGGCTCAACCTGGACTTTAGAAATAGTCTTTGGTAATTGGTAGAACGTTCTAGCAGTATTCTGTTGTTTCTCTGCTCTTTTTATACATAGTAACCCCATAAAGTGCACCTACGCGAGATGTCCATTTTGGGAATGGCAGTGTTGTTGTGATAGTTTACATGCATGATCAGACATAGGGTGGTAGTAAAGAATTGAGATCTAATATTTTCTTGCTCCTTTTCAACCCCAACGCACACAGTATTTTACCAGATCCTCCTAATTTTTTAGTTTGAGATATCTGAATAAATGGGTTTGTCCAAGTTGTAGCTTAAACCAGAACCTAAGTCTCTGGGTCTTCTGTTTAAAAGAAAAGCTGTTGTCTCATGTGATTCACAGTGTTTTGGGCATGTTGTAATCTTTAAATAAACGTGGTCCAGCTCATAAACTCTCTTAACTGGTATGGCCTGGTTGTGACAATGCTAGGTCTTTCCTCAAGTCCAGGGAAATTGATAAAGGGGGGAGCAGCATTCTCTGAGGAAATTCATAATTCATGTGATAGTTTGTTTGGGGGTTTTCTTTTTAAATGAAAATGCTGCTTTGAGCAGGCGGTAAACATATCTCCCTTCCCTGGCCTGGGAACATTTGTTCTTACTACTCTACAGATCGCAGAGCACTTAATCCTTATACCTAAGTGCCAGTTTTTCATTGTGCATGCACTTACAGTTTTTTTTTCACTGAAGTAACTGTTCTAAAACTTACTAAATATTTTTTCAGGTGTGCGAAGTCTATAAACTTCACAGGGAGACATTTTACTTGGCACAGGATTTCTTTGATCGGTACATGGCAACACAAGAAAACGTTGTAAAAACACTTTTACAGCTTATTGGGATTTCATCTTTATTTATTGCTGCCAAACTTGAGGTAAATAATTTTCAAATACTTGTTGTACAATGTGTGGTGTTTCTTGAGCTCCACTGAGATTAGCGGCGGAGGTCAACCGATTGTCTGTAATGCATATCCTACAGTTTTCTAATCTGAGGCCTTCTGAAGCTAAGACGTGCACAAAAGGCTGGAAACTGACCAGGAAGAGAGAGGAGTTGTGAGTGTGTAGAACATGTAGGTTAATGTAGTTACATTGAACTTTGAACTCAGAAGATTAAGAATTTGGTGTGATTATAGAAGGGTGTATGGGCCCAACTTTCAAACACGTTGTTAAAGGTACTGAAAAGATGAAAATTTCGAAAGTGCTCACAACGTGTAAAAGTTCTATCCATGCATTTATTTAGTAGGGCTAGGGGTTTCATTTCTCTTGCAGCTAACACGTCTGCAACCATTGGAGTGACTCCTGTATTAATCCCATCAGTGTGCCCCTCTCCTTCCATGCCAGCGTGCTAAAAAGAATAGTTTTGGATGTATATTGTACAGTGAACCATTAGAAATTGGCTTTGTGCTAGTAGTATCTTCCTTTTATTTCCTTCTAGGAAATCTATCCTCCCAAGTTGCACCAGTTTGCTTATGTTACAGATGGGGCTTGTTCAGGAGATGAAATTCTCACCATGGAATTAATGATCATGAAGGTAGGTCACAAATTAGTTTTTCAGTCATTTTTTAAATGCACACATAACATCTTTTCCACATGAAGTATGAGCGCTTCTAATAGGTGCTCTGCGGCTGGACACATTGTGGCCTGGAACGTGGCTGCGTTTGAACTTACTTCCTCGGGCATTGGTCTCTTTTCTCTGTTCCCCTTTAGGCTCTTAAGTGGCGTTTAAGTCCGCTGACCATCGTGTCCTGGCTGAACGTGTACATGCAGGTCGCGTATCTGAGTGACGTGCATGAAGTGCTGCTGCCGCAGTATCCCCAGCAGATCTTCGTGCAGATCGCAGAGGTGAGCGCTCGATCCCTGGGGGTCTGCCCGCCCCGCCCCGCAGCTGGAGTGGGGACGTGGAGGGCACATGTTGGCGTCAGTCTCAGTCTCTGTTCTGCTCCGTAGCTTTTGGATCTCTGCGTCCTGGATGTCGACTGCTTAGAGTTTTCTTGCGGTGTGCTTGCTGCTTCCGCCTTGTATCACTTCTCTTCCTCTGAACTGATGCAGAAGGTTTCAGGTACGTGGCTTTCCAGCGAGTGCACAGACAGGGTGTGTGACACTCACAGACAAATCACCGGCCTCAGACCGAGCCACGTGTCCTTCCGTCGTCGCAGGGTATCAGTGGTGCGACATAGAGAGCTGTGTCAAGTGGATGGTCCCGTTTGCCATGGTCATAAGGGAGACGGGGAGCTCAAAACTGAAGCACTTCAGGGGGGTTCCTGCTGACGACGCCCACAACATCCAGACCCACAGGGACAGCTTGGACTTGCTGGTCAGTGCCACTCCCGCTGCCAGTCCCTCCTGCCCAGAGGGGGCCTCAAAACTGCTGGAGGAGCCTATTCACTTTCCTTCAGGCAGGCTCCAGATTTCCTAGAAAAATTCCAATTCTTTTAATTCCTGGAAAAAGGAAAATTCTGGTCAGTAGATACTGTGTCTCGGTGTCATGTGGACCAGAGACTTTTAGGTCGTTCTTTGCTACCTTCGTCCTCTCGCCTCCACAGAAAAAGCATGCGGTAGGTGAAGCCCAAGGATAGTTCTCCGCTTTGACATTCCCCCTTTGTTCTCACCAACAGGACAAAGCCCAAGCAAAGAAAGCCATATTGTCCGAACAGAACAGGATTTCTCCTCTCCCCACCGGGGTCCTCACCCCCCCACCCAGCAGTGAGAAGCAGAGCGGTGGGCAGGGGACCGCGTGACACACCAGCGTCCTCCACCAAAGACAGTCGCGCACAAGTGCCTGCTCCGAGTTCTCCTCGTCCGCTGCAGCGGAGGCGTGCGTTAGCTTTTACAGGTGTTTAAGTGGAAGAGCGCATCTCTTCCCCAGCAGAAGTATTTCTGTGGATGGCATTGGACAGGGAGAAGTGTTTTTTATTGAATGCTTAGATTTTTTAATAAGTGGGTCAAGTACACCAGCCACCTCCAGAACACCAATGAGTGCTCCAGATGCTGCTAAGGAGGGTGATACTTGACTTGATTGACTGTTCACACAAACAACAAAGGCTTGAAGTGAGGAGCGCGCCGCTGCTCTCCCTCAGGTGTTCTGGCTCGCGTGGTGCTAAGTGAAACAGGTGGTGGTGAGCATCATGGTGCAGAGCCCACCGCCAGCCCGCGGGGCCTGCCCTCGCCACACTATCAGTGACAACGTACAACGCCTTTTATGAACTGTCGTAAGTGCTGCTATGTCTGTCCGTTTTTAATAAAGATAATACTGTCTGTGAGACAGCTGGTTTTACGAGCTATGCCTGGTAACTTAAGTTAGAAGTCAGCCTTCAGGGTGGCTGTGTCAAGTTCTCTGTTTTGACTTCATGCTTCTTGACGCTCAAGTCTTTTCAGGCAAATACATTTAAAAGAAAACTTCTGAAGTGAGCTTGTGTGCCTCCAAGGCCCCCGGAACCGGCAATGGGGATTTGATTGGCAGTCCTCCCACGACACCCTGCCTGCGTGGCCGTTGATGGCAGTAGTGAGATCACTGCCACGTCTGAGAGGACACTTACATATAATTTCTTCCCGAGGACTGTCAAAGGTCATAAAGAATCTATAATTAGTGTTATTTAATATTCTTTTCACCCTTAGCCAAATCTTAAAGAATAAATGAATTTTTGTTTGGAGAACTCGTTAACATGGTAGCCTAAAACTATGCTTTTAAGAAGAAAATGCAAAGTAAAATTCTATGTAGCTCAAGGGCATGATGTCATTACCCAGTCTGTTCCCTGACCATTGATGGAATCACCAAGTGCCTTTGCCGATGGTCACCGTCCACTCGAAGGCCTGATGCGCACGGCGCGCGTCACGTTCTGTTGAGCGTTGGTACTGCGGAGTCTGACGTTTGTCTTTCTACCGATGCTTCGGCGTGTGTGGGGCGCACACCAGGGAGGGTGAATGAACGAATAAATACCACTTATTTTCAGCTTGGTGTCTCCTCTCATTTCGTAAAAATCTGCTTGAAGTAAAAAGGAAAACAGCCACTTTAAATCTGTACCACGTTTGTGTGAGTTGGAGAGAGACCCGACCTTCTGACATCGATGTAGTCGTCAGGCGGGTTTCACGACAACATCCTAATAGATGCGTTGTGAAGTCGCAGGGAACGGTCCTCAGTCAAGCGATGCACCTCCCAGCCCGTGATCTCCTCGTCTCAGGCAGAGATGTCAGAGCCTTAAAGGCAGTGACCTTAATGGCGATCGTTTGTAGGCGACCTGGCAAAACCCTAAAAGTGGTTCCTTTCCATTTTGCATTTTCTGTGCAAAAATACGGCGCTGAAAGCATTCCTATTTCCAAAGTTGTTTTGTAAATTTGAGAGCTGGACAAATGAGAGGTGACAGCGATTTGAAAGCACGTTTGAGGTGAGCATTGCCGCAGAGGCGGGTTAGCAGGCCGGGGCGCCACAGAGGGCGTCACTGAATACGCTGAAACAGGAGCGCCTAGTACGCAAGTTGTCTGGATGCTGCATTTCCAAAATCCGGATTTTTTTAAGATGACAGCGTTGCCATAGGCAGCTCTTAATCGCCTGTGCTAATAAAGGGTAAGCCCCAGGTGGGTGAATGAAATCCATAGCCATCAGTAATTTCTGTGGCTCTGTCAGAAACCCTAAAAGCCGCTAGTAAGTAAAGATCAAGTTCCCTCCTACAGCAGCTTCCTCCGTTTGCTCGTAACCGGTTTGTGGCTAACTGGTCTCCCTGCTTGGTTTTTGCCATCCCGTTTGCCAGGCCGTTTTTGTTCTGCTGTTCAGCCAAAGCCAGCTGAGGCTGGGCGATGCCCCAGCAGACATCAGGGACGACACTGGCCGCTCGGTCCACTTGGTCCACTTGGGTGAATGATGCTCTGAGGCCAAGGTGGGAGCAGGAAGGGCCAGAGAGAGGCGATGTGGGCCCCTTGACATCAGAGATGGAGAAAAAACCGTGGGGACCGACTGGGCTGTGGGACAACAGGCGGCATCTTCGTGCCCCGCCCCAGCTCACAGACCCACTTGCTAGTCCGCACCAGAGGTGCTGGCATGTCTCTGTCCCCCGTGCCTAAAAAAGAAACACTGGTCCTTAGAGGTGAGTGTCCAAGGTTTTCCAAAGGCACCTTCCCTGGTTGGAAGTTAGACCGCTTATGTTCCACGGCGGTCGTTTCATACCAAGTGGGTAAATAAATGGTGCCAAGGTTCACGTTGATTTTAAGTTCCCGAGGCAGGGCCGGGCGCGGTGGCTCGCGCCTGTAATCCCAGCACTCTGGGAGGCCGAGGCGGGTGGATCGATCGAGCTCAGGAGTTCGAGACCAGCCTGAGCAAGAGCGAGACCCCGTCTCTACTAAAAATAGAAAGAAATTAGCCGGTCAACTAAAAATAGAAACAAAAAATTTAGCCAGGTGTGGTGGCTCACGCCTGTAGTCCCACCTGCAGGAGGATGGCTTGAGCCCAGGAGTTTGAGGTTGCTGTGAGCTAGGCTGACGCCACGGCACTCACTAGCCCAGGCAACAGAGCGAGACTCTGTCTCAAAAAATAAAATGTAAATAAATAAGTTCCTGAGGCAGATAAGTCCAGCTGTGGAGCCCTTTAAGATTCAGAGCATAGGGCCCGATACACTTCTACCCACTACCTCAGACACAAACGAGACTCGAGTTCATGCCGGCAAAATTAGGCTCTAGCTCAGAGCAGGGACGGAAGGAGAAATCAAATCTGATAATGTCTAGTCATATTTACCCGACCGTGCATTTTCCTACCACATGTTCAACATTTTGAAATTCAAATCACATTTATACCTTGGACATTGTTGGAAGACTATTTTTATCCCAGCTGTAATCATCTAATTTGCTGATTACAGGTCTCAAATTGCCACAGAGAACTCAATTTTTGAAAGAATTGTCCTGTTTGATCAAATATGTTATTCAAGCCATGCAGTCATTTGTTCCACAAAGTTACCTGCCAGGCAGAGTTAACCAGGAGTAATAGCATTAGAAGCCCACACTTAAAATCAAGCATTAGCTAATCTGCCCGTGACAATAGAGTCTTAAATATAATTTGCCGCAGATACTTCAGTTCCTGCACGGACAGACAATTGCATTTTGTATTCAATGAGCATAGATTTTTCTTACCTCATCCCAGTTCCAAATTTATCTCCAGAAGACCCTAATGTGCTCAGTTTCACAGTCTTACCAGGTACCATTTCCCCGGAGCTTCAGCCGGGAGGACAATGCTATTATCCTTTATTACATAAATATACACCCTCCCCCTTTGAAATCTTTCTCCCGATCAATGCCAATTCCAAAAACTGTGCAGTGAGGCTCAAGTCCAGTGTTGGCTTCCCCGGGGTCGACGTGCAAGATGCTCTCCGGAGCCCCTGCTGGGCACTGGCTCAGCACGTGAGACCGAGGCGCAGTATGTGGTCGAGGGCCCAGGTGGGCCTGGGAGACAGGTGAGCACCTGGAGTCCTGTGAGGGCAGCGGCGTGGACGGGCGGCCTCCGGGAGCAGGGCTGCCGCTGAACAGGTGGGCTGTCGGATCCTCCCCAGCAGTCCGCAGAAGGTGCCCACAGATCGGGTGGAGGGAGAGGAGGAGGTGCAGGGTGGGCGCGGTCTCACCGGCAGCAGGAAGCGGAAGTTCTGGGGAGGGGGACTTCCTCAGAGCCAGCTGGGAGGCAGAGGTTGAGGGCGCAAGCCCAGAGTCCAGCCTCTTTGTGCACGTGGAGGGTAAGAAGGCAGGCAGCGGGCACATCCGTAACAGTGACATCAACGCTGATTTCCAAATGGCCCTGCCCAGTGTCCGCTCCCGTCTCTCCCCAGGCCACAGGAATCTCTGCCCCTGCGTCTCGGCGCAGGGCTGCGCCCGTCCACCCGCTCGCAGCCGGCTCAACCTCTCCTGCCGGAGCCGGCCCGGCTCACACCGAGGTCATCTCTTCCCTGGGCTCTGGAGGCCATCGCCTCGAGCTGAGACCCTGCCCTGCCGCTTCCCGGTGTGATCTCGGACACCGTGCGCCACCTCTCCAAGCCCAGTGTTTCTCAGCCGTGACACGAGGATGACAGTGATGGGACTTGTGGCACAGAAGTGCGCGGAGAGGAAGTGGGGAGATGCACGGAAAAGCTGAGCAGGGTGCTCGGCACGTTGGAACAGAACCAGAAGTGAGTGACAGCTGCCAGCCCTGTCATTGTCCCCACTGGAGGCACCGTCACGGCGACAGGCCGTCAAGACAGCCTTGGTGGAGAATGCTGGGGGGTGGGGGATGGGCGGCCACCACGCGTGCCCCCCGCACAGCCCAGCCAGGACAGCCGTTCCCTCCTGGGCCCTGATCCTCCTCAGCCTCTCCCCTCCCGCCTGCCCCCAGGTCTTGTCCAGGCTCCAGCCCCGCCCCTCCTCCCTTCCTGCGCAGCCCGTCTGAAAGTGTCGTCTACACCCGCTGTCGCTCCACCTGCAGCCCTCTCCGGCTGGGCTTCTGTTCCCACACCCCACGCCCTGCCCTGGCCGCCTAAAACCTCCTTGCGACAAATCCCACGGCACTCTCCAGCCTTCCTCTCCCCCGGCGTCTCTGCCACACTTAGCTCTAGCAAACCCTCCTTCCCTCTAGAAAGTTTTTGTGCTCCCTTGGCCTCTTCCCCTGTCCCCAGCCCCACCGTCCACTCCTTCCCCTCTTCTCTGCTCTAGCATAAGGTGGAAGAGCCACAGGTCCACCCTGGGCCACCACTGACCTCGGCGCCTGGGCAAGGTCACCGCCCCAAAGGCTCTGATGCCTCCTCTGTGCCTCCCTCACCCCAGCCACGCCTGCCCTGGCTTCAAACCCGGATGCCCACCTGCCCGCGGGAGCCTCCGTCTACTCATCTCAGCGTCGTCTCGAAAACTCATTCCTCCTTCCATCGTTAATACTACTCCGAAACATGGGAACTGCTCATACCCAATTCGCAAGCCATCAGGGAAATGCAAAATAAAAACAACGGGATCGTTTCACACCCACCAGGGTGGCGAAAATTTTAAAGTGCAGAGAATAATGAACACCTGTGGACCCATCACCCAAGTTTGCCGAATTGGCTTCGTATCATTTTTTTTTTTTTTAGACAAGAGTCTTGCTCTGTTGCCCCAGGTAGAGTATAAGAGTACAGTCGTGTCATCGTAGCTCACAGCAACCTCCAACGCCTGGGCTCAAGCGATCCTCCTGCCTCAGCCTCCCGAGTAGCCGGGACTGCAGGTGTGTGCCGTCACGCCAGGCTAACTTTTCTATTTTTTTTTTTTGTGGAGACAGAGTGTTGC